CTCTCTCTCTCTCTCTCTCTCTCTCTCTCTCTCTCTCTCTCTCTCTCTCTCTCTCTCTCTCTCTCTCTCTCTCTCTCTCTCTCTCTCTCTCTCTCTCTCTCTCTCTCTCTCTCTCTCTCTCTCTCTCTCTCTCTCTCTCTCTCTCTCTCTCTCTCTCTCTCTCTCTCTCTCGCTCTTTTTTTAGGCCGATCCTGACTCCATAAAATCCGTGGCGGCGTGCGCGTTGAACTGTGACCCCCCTCGCCGGTCGAAAAAATAAATCCAGAAATTCTAAGCCATTCCAGGAACGGATCACGTTCTTCGTAGAAATGCTCGAATTTAACGGAGAATCGATACTTGCACTCGTTTGATATTGAACACAAGTAGATTTCAATGCAGAATGTCGATATGTTTAGCAATTTCAATATTTTCTCGTGGCATTTTTCATATTTCTAAAAGCGTACTGTGTCTGAATATTTTGAACATCAATATTTTCTCTATTTCTACGGCACCAAAGGCATCGTGAGTATCGGCAGCTTTCCAGTTCTCCGATAACTCGGACGGGCTACTTCACAGCTTCGAGATCGGCGAGCCGGCGGTCTGCGCGATAATTTATAGCGGCCTCTCTTTCTCGCGAGCGACGGATAAAATTATTTATCGGCAACGGGAACGGAAACGACGGAGGCGATCGTAAAATGCGCTCGAGATCGGCCGACAAACCCTGGGCGAGCGAGGAGGAGCTGTCGCAATAATACGCTCTCCTGTTTGTCCTCTCTGGACAGCGGCGCCGCGTTCCGGTGACAGCGGCGCGGAGATCGATATAATGGAAGGCGATTGTGCGTTGACTTTGTTTGCGCACCGAGCCAAGCGTGTGCTAAATGCGATTTCGCGCGAATTTTCGAGCCGCGATCGATCGCCGCGTGCCGCTGACAGCCACGTGCCACGTCGAAATCGCAACGCGGCAACTCGCGATGTATTTCGAGCTGCTAAAGACCGAAACTTTAGCCTTTAATGCGACGGTGTTGACGTTTAAAAATACTCATTCTTAACTCGATTTTATATCAAGTATAAATTTATCTTTAACATTATTTCATATTTTATTAATGGAAATGAAGAGTTTATTAAATCATACAAGAGTTTGATAACTCCAAATGTGTTAATCAATTATTATTATGATAACTCCAAGTGTGTTAATCAATTATTATTTTTACGATGCTTAATGATTTCAAGATAATCTTAATGGTTTCAAGATACACGAAATTGTGAAATTTTGTACGCTATGTTTTGTTAAATAACATGCTCGACAAGAAATCCCCCGAAAATTACTAATTCGTATATTCATTAAATCTATATTTATATTTACGCAAAAGCTTTATATTTATGCAAAAGCTAAATACCAAAAAATCGTATCATCGATTAATTGTTGATCAAACAAAATAACTCCAACCAGTCTATATATCAATTGGCAAGAGACACAAAGGCGAACACGAAGGTCGTATGGAAATTCTCGCTAAAGTTTAAATCCTGAGACGAATCGATCTGCGAACGAAGCGCATAGCGTATATAGATGTTACTTTCAAGCGTTCTAGTTTGTATTTTAAATAAAAATTATTGAATTCATTGTTAATAATAAAATAATAATTACAAAATGATAATTTGTATAATTCCTAAGTCACACGACTTTACCAATTTCGCTTTCTGCCGTCTGTTCTTTGTTGTTTTGCGTTTTGCCCTCTCCATCGAACAAAAGATTCAAGTATCATCCTAGCTCTGCATATTAAATGCACGCTCCTTTTTCTCAAGATACGCATCGTTGGTAATCAATGATCACGTCAATGACTTTGTTACGCAGAGACGATTATTAAAAGAGGGTAGTTTCGGCAATGCTCACCGTGATGACCGTGCACGTGATGCGTGTCCGGCAGCGGCTTGCCCGACAGGTAATCCTGCTTGCAAACGAACTTGTTGTCGTCCAGGACATAGAGCTCCTCGCCGGTGCTCATCTGCTTCCGACACACCAGGCAGGTGAAGCAATTCAGGTGGAAAACCTTGTCCCTCGCCTTCCGTACGAGGTCCTGCGGATTTATTCCTTGAAGGCAACCGCCGCACTTGGTGCCGTATCGCCTAGAAGAAGAAACACAATTTAAATTTATCGCTGGTAAGCCGATGAAAGGTAAGATAATGGGCGTGGGTGTGTGAAGCGCCGAAGAGCTCATTATTGTTCCGCAGAAAAGTGTCTCTTCGAATTGAAACTTGTTTCAATTCTGTTAAAGTATAAAAATGTGATGATACAATAAATAGATTAAAAATGTAAAACGTGAAAATGAATAAAACTGGACTGTAAACAAAAATATCTAAAAAATAATTGCGTGAGCGACAACTTTATCGATATATCAACTTAATTGAATTGCAAATTAAACTAATAGCATGTTTATCAAAAAAAAAAAAAATGCAAGTGTACACAACATTTTATAAATTAAGTACAAGATTGAAACGTCGATTGTTTGGCGTCAGCTGCAAGTTTGCATCATGCATTTCCGTGAAGAAAATTTCCGCGTTTTGAACTAGGTACACCGTAGATAATCTTATTTAATTTTCCAATTTCTTTGAGACTTGTCGAAGTTTTAGCAAAACTCCAATGAGATTGTCAGGAAAGGTTGATATTAAGTGTAAAAGGTATCGAAGAGAGGCTTAATCATAAGTATACCTGATTTCGCAATTTTTCAAATTTTTTTCGCAAAGCCGTACTCTATCGTGCGGCGTTGTAATTTCACCATGGAGCGTTAACACAAACCCTTAATCACTAAACCGCAAGTATCGCCACACACCGTGTTATTATCACACGTACGACGCGGCTCTCGACAATTTTTCCCGTAAGATGCCACGGATCATATTTCGCACCTCGATAACAGACTTCCCTCGAAAGATGACGAGGTGCGATCTTTTTTTAATCTATAATTTGCTCCGCGAAATTATAAAACGCGACATGCACAATTATTTTTATAGCATCTACATTAACTGAAGCGCGTAACGTTAAACATTTTCGGCTACCGGAATTAATCATAAGTCAACTACACTCATCGAATGTGAAACTCACGAGTCCTGTTTGTAACTCAGTCGGACCGCAAAAGTCGATGAAAGAAATATAGCGCTTTTAAAGAGATGGCGGTTTAATGTTCCGATCCGGCATAAAGAGTCGAGGCCCTACTGTGTCGTAAAAACGTACCGCGTGTTCGCCCGATTTTTTTTTCCTTCTCGTCGAATCGTTAACCGCCTTGCTTTTTTCAGATGCTTTGCTGATCTCTCGTTAAATGTTCTTCTAGTTCGCCATTATTGCACGGTTGCGTCATCGCAAACTTAAATCGCAAATCGTATTACGGCAACTACAAAAAAAAAGTTATCACAAGAGTTGCAAAATTATATTATAAAGCGAGGGAATTAGATTGCAAAAATGATAAAATTGTATTAGAAGATTATAAAATTTATAATATTTAACTTGAAAAATAATAACATTTTTCAAACTCAGCTTAAAAAAATTATGCATAATTAATTTTAAAAATTACATCATTGTTTAATTGATATACTTGAGATGCAATTAAAGGAAAAAATAAGATTAATAAATAACAAAATGAAATTGATAGAGAAAGAACGCGGAAATTTCGCAACTCTTCCGGCTGGCGCGCGATAGGGTCGCAAATCTGGCCGAAACAATCGTCAAGTCAATACCTATATCTCTGTGACTGTATCATTACGGCGGCAAAAGCTACACTCTTCTAACTAGCAATCCGGATCGATCTAACTATAGCAATCACGCAATTAATTATAGCAATTAGCCGGAGCCCTTAGGGCTGGCGTGTTCCGAAGAGCGGACGTCTCAATCGATCTCTACTCCGACATCGTTTCGCCAACAATAAACAAGCTAAACGCAGATGGCAGATCATTGGAGAGATCACGAAATCAGTCTCTTATTAGCAATTTGGTAGGGCGATATTTATCGACTAACAGCTTTCGATACTTTACAATCTATGTCGTTAATAGCGTCAATCAAAAAAATAGAGATTGAAAAAACATGAAAAATGTTATTTTTTTCAAATGTAATAATATTGAAATATTTTATACGTTATTCGTATGTTTTTCTTTTGTTATCATCAGCGGCATTGCCACATTCATTGACTACTTTATTCGTCATTACTTCCGCAATGTTTTTTTTCGATGTATTTTGATATACTTTCATTTTATCGAAAAATACACTTTTTTTTATTATTATGTACAATATCGATTTTAACACATACAGCCGTTTATGAATTTTCTTCAATAAAAAATATTCAAAAATATTTGCAGAATTATTTTAAAAATGACAAACATTGAATGTATCAGTGTTGCTATCTTTTAATTATAATGTTAATAAGTATGAATTTTAATTACAATATTGTATTTTTATTTTATTAAAAAATAAATTTTTATTGTTATTTGCAAGTTTGATTTTAATACTAACGTTGTTAATAATAGTTTAATAATAAACAGTTTTTAAAAATATTTGTAGAATTATTTGAAATAGCAAATATTTAGTTTATCGGTGCAAAATATTACTATAATGTAATTATTACAATCTATTGCTTTTCCTGTTTCGTCTTTTAATTATGATTTATCGAAATGCCTTTATTATTTCTCCAAATAAAGCGCAAGTTTTATTCATTCATTGTTGCGCGATCGACTATAAAAAGTAAGAACCAGGCATAAAGCGTGTAGAAATAGACGATACAACGCCAGAGAGCTGTAACCCGGACATTGCTTGAGACTCATTGTTAGCCTAATTATTCTCGGTGTACTCGATAGTCGCAGCGCGGTGTGTGTCCGCGCGTAGCGTGTGTATCGACGTGCGTTTGAGCATACAATAAATCCCGCGGAATCTCCTATTATTAACTGCTGCCGGGTACTGTATCAAGCGACCCAATTCGCCACACTTTATTACCGTGGACGCGTGACGCCGACGGAAACGCAAGTGCACCGGTGTCTTGCGGCACGCTGCCATTAAGAAGAAGCGCGGCGAGAAGTTCTCTCGTGCCCTTCCATATTTACACGAGGCCGTCAGTCGATATTAGCAAATTCATGAGCCACGTGAATTGTTAAACCACTGCAAACCGCCCTGTAATTGTATAACTGTTTAACGCGCCGTTAATCCTCGGATGCACTGTTCAATTTTCGACTCTCATTCACTGCAAAGTCACATACAAAGTAATTTAAATTAATAAAAGGGTTTTTATGTTGCGTGGTGTAATTTGACAAATATGGAGCGGAACGAAAATTTTAATAATTCGATGGAAAAGTCGTATGCACGACGAGAAAATCGTATGTGACATATCGATTCCGAAAGTGCATCGGATAACTAATTTGCCATTGAATGAAAATTAAATATTTTAGTTAATAGACGGGAATGCGCTACGTGCGGCGCAAATAATGAATTACAGCGCGGGTACTAAAATGAATTAATTATTAGAACGTACTGAAAATGGCAATTGTGCGCTAGCTAAACAAACGCGTTTCATCACAGGCGTATCTTTTTTTTTTTCAGCCAACGGAAAACGCCCATTCGATCTTAATGAATTTTCCCGAGATTCGTTTCGATATTAATTAATATCGCGCCGCCGTGCAACCAATAATTTGACACCGTCGCCATTTAACAGATGGATAGATCTCAAACACGCGTGAACGGATCGATAATTATTCGTCGCGCTCGTCGCACCCAAGAACCAACACGCAACGCGCAGCTTCTTTCTAGTCTACGTGCCCATTTTGCATACCGCGAGCACTCCATCGAAGTTTCCCACCGCAGCCTTTACAGCCTCTGAAATATTTTACATCTCGCGGTTGATGTGCATCTCGTGAAAAGATAAGAGAGATAGAAAGAGAGAGAGAGAGAACGGCAGAGCTGCGGACGGAAAACGCGCTGTGTATTTCAAAGAGACGGCTCTCTCTTTCCCTTGTCTAGGTGGAGCCCGGTTGCTCGCACACGAGCGGTGAATATCAAAGGTTGCTTCACGTGTCTGCAACATTGTATTCGCGTATTGCGCCGCGACTTGCCCACGTCCGAGCTCCATCGTCCATCGTGCTCAAGCTCTCCAACTCTCTCCTCGTGGGCGAAATAAATCTCTTGTAAAAGTACACCGCCAATCAAGTCAAATGTCAATTAAAAATCTTTCGCGTAAATGGATATATATATATGTATATAAATATAAATGGAATAATAAAAATGTGCGGGGTGCGAAAAAATATCCATCCTTTTCTTTAACTTTATCTTGCGATCCGCTCGAAATCGGTAATGCGTCGATGAAGGGAATGTAGACATAAACATTTTCAAAATGTGTTTCCTTGTAAAATAAAAAAAAAGTTATTATCTTAAAAGTGCACCAGGTTGTGAAATGCAAGAAATAGCTACTGTTAGTTACTGTTACTGTTATCGGCAGGCAGTGCAATTTTGTGCGTCTTGCCCACATCGTTCTGCAGAAAACGGTAGTATGCAAAAGGATCGCTGATTACTTTTATTGCTGCCATAATTTTCACCCGCATCTCGCTCGGACCAATTATCGCAATATCGAACGAGCGACAAGTGTCAGTGGAAACATTGGTGAAGCTTGCTTGAAGATGCTTAGTACAATCGATAAATCCTGACGCTCTGTATATTTTTAGATTTTATCGATACGTCATCGTAACAGTAGTTGAAAAAATGAAGTGAGAAACAATGCAATTGAAAGTTCAAAGTGCTGGTTTACAACAATGCGTGCCTCGGACAGATGTTAACAATCAAATATTAATTTCAACTTTTTTCTTATCAATTAAAGAATGATTTCCGTTAGAAAAAAAATTATCTCGAACTGTAAAAACCATACATTAGAGAGTAAATTATCTTTACGCTCGATCACACCGGCAAATCATTTTATAGACTCCCGATCCTGATCGATATCGATCCCGCTCGGATCGATAACAAGAGCGGGCAGTTCTTCACGCGGAAACCGAGAGCATGCTGGCCCTTATCGATCAACACGGACGTCGGATCGCGTGATTGCGAGACACCGTTCGCTCGCTCGGCGAGAGCATCCTGTAATCAGTCGGCCGGCGCGCTTTTT